AACATAGTTTATTATTAATTGAACTTTATTGATCTTACACTGTAGAAATTTACCTTTGCATTTAACCCATCCTTTTGGGGAGCAGTGGGCTGCCATTGTGTGGCGCCCAGGGAGCAGTGTGGGGTTAAGGGTTTTTACTAAACCAGAGTGGAGACTGTGGGGATCGAACCAGGGAACTTGCAGTGAACCTGTCTAACCCACTAGGCTGACACTAGTTTAGCATCTCTTATTAAGTCAATTTCAATCTATATTGAGATTGTACCCTGCAGCTACTTGCAGTACTATATCCGCTCCTTGTTTCTGGTGTCAATTCTTGTTCACACAAGGTGGATTTGTGGGAGAGTAGAGAGGGTGGAAGGGTCTGCATCGAGGTGCTGTTTAGGTCAAGGCAACCAACACAACCACTTTGGCTGAGTTGCCATTTGTGGTGGTTAAGGAATAGGAGGCCATCACACAGAGGTGTGGAATAAACTAGTGGTTAGCATGAGGAAAAGGAGCCTGTTTTTTTGTCTTTGTACAGGAACAACTGAGTCCATGTTTAAACTGTTGATATGACCTGTTTGGTCAAACTACAATCAGCCAGTTGCCATGAATCTGGAGTGTGGGTGTGGATGGGTGTGCTTTGTATGACTTTTGCTCTGAGCTGCAGATTTTCATATGCATTGGCGGGGCAGGCTGAAGTTCCCTCACTTCAACTCCACCTCGCTGGTTTGCTGTTTGATGTCAATCAAATCTGGCCAGGGCCTTCAGAACCAGCAATGCTGTTTGATATTACTTTTACAAATTGTTTTCTTCAACCAATCAGATTTTGTTAAAAGTTTTTCTGGCTTCACTGGCTGTTACTAAATGCAAATACTAAGAATTCCTGCACAAAGGCAGAAGGCTTTTGTTTATAAATAATCAGTATCAATGGTTAGTGTCATATATTTTAATTTCAAGCTTTATGTGCTATTTTATCTAGTAATTAGACACAAATTAAATCTGAATGGCTCCAAGGGGCCCTCAGGGGCCACATGGGGTGTCCACAGCATCTTCTGAAAATAGCACAACAAACCAGTGGGCTAAGATTGGAATTTTATTTTTATTCTGTTGCTCTTCTTTATTAATAATTTATAGAGCATTTTATTATTTTATAATACAGAGCATTTATGCATTTATAGAGATATCAAAATAACAATACAATAAAAAAGTAGTAGTTAAAAGAAACAACTAATGCATACAAATATGGTTATTATGTATGAAGGTAAGGTTAACGGTGATCCCTCCAGTTCATAAGTAAGTACTGGTAGCCCTTCCTATGACTCAGTCAGTACCCATGAAGGATCCCTTGGGCTTATAAAAGGTATAAGTAGTATAAGTATAAAGGTATATATATATATATATATATATATATATATATATATATATATATATATATATATATATAAACTGTTTTCTCACCCCTCGTGGGGTGGTATGGGTCATCCTCAAGCTCGGGTCCTCTACCAGAGGCCTGGGAGTTTGAGGGTTCTGCGCAGTATCTTAGCTGTTCCTAGGACTGCGCTCTTCTGGACAGAGACCTCTGATGTTTTACCTGGAATCTGCTGTAGCCACTCTCCCAGTTTGGGGGTCATAGCCCCCAGTGCTCCAATTACCACTGGCACCACTGCTGCTCTCACTTTCCACATCTTTTCTAGCTCCTCCTTCAGTCCTTGGTATTTCTCAAGCTTCTCGTGTTCTTTCTTCTTGATGTTGCTGTCGCTTGGGATTGCCACATCTATCACTACTGCCTTCTTCTGCTGTTTGTCGATCAACACGATGTCTGGTTGGTTAGCCATCACCTGTTTGTCAGTCTGGATCTTGAAGTCCCATAGGATCTTAGCTCGGTCATTCTCAACTACCTTAGGAGGTGTCTTCCATTTTGACCTTGGGACTTCCAGCCCATACTCATGGCAGATGTTCCTGTACACTATGACAGCTACCTGGTTGTGGCGTTCCATGTATGCACTTCCTGCCTGCATTTTACACCCCGCTGTTATGTGCTGTATTGTTTCAGAGGCATCTTTGCACAGTCTGCATCGGGGGTCCTGCCTGGTGTGGTAGACCCTGGCCTCTTTTGATCTTGTACTGAGTGCCTGTTCTTGTGCTGCCATGATTAGTACCTCTGTGCTGTCCTTCAGTCCAGCCTTTTCCAGCCACTGGTAGGATTTTTTGATATCAGCCACTTCTTCTATTTGTCTGTGGTATACGCCGTGCAGCGGCTTGTCCCTCCATGATGGTTCTCCTTCCTCTTTCTTGTCCTCACTTTCGGTTTTCTCCTGCCTGAGGTATTCACCAAGCCATTTGTCTTTGGGGGCCATCTTTCTGATGTACTCCTGGATCTTAGTTGTTTCATCCTGGACAGTGGTCTTGACACTCACTAGCCCTCGGCCTCGCTACGCTTGGTGTACAGTCTCAGAGTGCTGGATTTGGGGTGGAACCCTCCATGCATTGTGAAGAGCTTTCTCGTCTTGATGTCAGTAGCCTCTATCTCCTCCTTTGGCCAGTTTATTATACCAGCGGGGTATCTGATGACTGGTAGGGCATATGTGTTGATAGCTTGGATCTTGTTTTTCTCATTCAGCTGACTTTTCAGGACCTGCCTTACTCTTTGTAGGTATTTAGCTGTGGTAGTCTTTCTTGCCATCTCCTCGTGGTTTCCGTTAGCCTGTGGCACCCCAAGGTATTTGTAGCTGTCCTGAACATCTGTTATGTGGCCTTCTGGTAGTTCAACCCCCTCGGTTCTGATCATCTTCCCTCTCTTTGAGACCATGCGACCGCACTTGTCCAGTCCGAATGACATCCCAGTGTCGCTGCTGTAGATCCTGGTAGTGTGGATCAGTGAGTCGATGTCTCGCTCACTCCTGGCATACAGCTTGATGTCATCCATGTAGAGGAGGTGACTGATGATTGTTCCGCTTCGGAATTGGTATCCGTAGCCAGTCTTTGTGATGATCTGGCTGAGGGGGTTCAGGCCTATGCAGAACAGCAGCGGGGATAGTGCATCACCCTGGTATATGCCGCACTTGATGGTGACTTGTGCTATTGGCTTTGCATTGGCTTCCAGACTTGTTTTCCACAGCTTCATTGAGTTCTTGATGAAGGCTATTAGAGTCCTGTTGATCTTGTACATTTCCAGGCATTCCAGTATCCATGTATGTGGCATTGAGTCATAGGCTTTCTTGTAGTCAATCCAGGCAGTGCACAGATTTGTCTGCCTGGTCTTACAGTCTCGGGTGACTGCTCTATCCACTAGTAGCTGGTGTTTGGCTCCTCTGGTGTTGCTGCCTATTCCCTTCTGGGAAGGGTGCATGTATTGAGCCATGTGCCTATTCATCTTAGCCGCTATGATGCCTGACAGGAGCTTCCATGTTGTACATAGGCAAGTTATTGGCCGGTAGTTGGATGGGGTTGTTCCCTTCTGCGGATCCTTCATGATCAGGATTGTCCGTCCTTGGGTTAACCATTCTGGGTGGGTCCCATCCATCAGCAGTTGGTTCATTTGTTCTGCGAGGCGTGTATGAAGTGCGGTTAGTTTTTTCAGTCATTAGGTGTGGATCATGTCAGGGCCTGGTGCTGTCCAGCTCTTCATACCTGCCGCTCTTTCTTGGACATCTGCCATTGTAACGGTTACTGGTTCTTGTTCTGGGAGATTGCTGTGATCTGTTCTTAGATCTTCTAGCCACTGAGCATTGGTGTTGTGGGATGCCTCCTTCTCCCATATGTTTCTCCAGTACTGTTCAGTCTCAGCCCTGGGTGGATCTGATCTTGAATTACCCTGCCACTGTGAGTACACTTTGGATGGGTTGGTGGAGAACACCTGGTTTATTCTCCTGGCTTCTGCTTCTCCCTTGTATCTCTTTAGGCGGGTGGCCAGGGCGGCGAGTCTTTGTTTGGCAGTTTCTAGAGCCTCAGGAATCGACAGCTTGTTGTACTTAGGTAACCTCTTCCCTACACCTTTCTGCAGGTCTGAGAGCTGACTAACCTCTCTTCGTGTTGCCTTTATCTTGGCTTCCAGCCTTCTTCTCCATGGGGCTCTGCTTTGTGGCCTGTGGTGTTTATCTTATAACCAAGCATCTCTAGGATCACTGTAGCTGTGGCGTAGGTCAGCTCATTGGTCTCAGTTATATCTTTAGTAGGGATAGTATGTAGTGCTGCATTTACATCTTCTAGAAGACTTTCAGAGGGTACTCTGTCACTTAGCCTTGGCAGTCTTGGTCGTCGTACGAGGGGATCCAGTTTCGTTATGATCTCTTTGTGTTGGGTTGATGATATTTCCCTACTGACCTGTTGTCCTGACCCCCCCTTGCCGCAGCATGTCAGTTGTACCTCGTCAATTTCTAGCTGTGATAGGAGCTGCCGTTTGCGGATGTTAGAACACTGAGTTAGTAGTTTATATATATATATATATATATATATATATATATATATATATATATATATATATATATATATATATATTATATTTAAAAAATATATATGTAATAAACGTTTGAAAGTGAAATATTCATCAAAATTTTAATCTTATGTTTAGCTGTAGTTTATATATTGTAGTATCTGGAAACGATTCCACAAAAATGGGAAGAAATACAAGTTTTATTGCTGTCTTTCTTTAGAAAACCCAGCTTCTAAGAACATTAGATGCGAGCTCGCCACTCACAACATGGTACCGTTGCAGATGTGTTGTTTCTTCGGCGTCTACTGGTTCAAGCTTTCATTTCGACGGAAGCCCGGGCGCATAGGCACAAGCGAAACCCTTGGTTTGTAACGATTACTTGTTTTGGCATATCTTTGGTTATCATAAATGTTATGAATATAAAAAAAGTTCGAGATGAAATACCAATAGGAAAAAAGGGAAACGCCCGGCGTAGGATATGTGTCTTTCTTGATTTTCTGATTATAAAATTTCTTTTTCTATGTAGAGCGGCTTTTATTGTGAAATTCTCCTACCAGAAGTGCTGATTTCATTCCCCGAGGATATGAAGAAGTGACGGCGCATGCGCGTTCGAGTGACAGCCGGTTGGTGTTGTTCCAGCTGTGTTGAAGAGCTCAGGGGATATGTGGAGCAGAGGCCAGGGCACATCAGTTTACCTCTGGCACCGCTGCTGACCTGCACCCAGCCAAGGCGGTCAGAGACACACAGAACAACCAAATTCATTAATGCAAAAGGTAAGAATCCACACAGTTTGACCTTATCTTCGCTAACTGTAGCTCAGTGAGGCTATTTGACATCGACACTAACGGTTATTAATGAGAGATTGGGTTTAATTTGAAGCTTTTTTTAACTTTAAAAACACTCTGGCTGAACCGTGTTAAGTATAACGAAGCATGGGTATGAATTATTTACAGTGTTTCTAAGCTTTGACAAAAGTAGATCATTTTACACAAAATTAGCTCTTTTTCTGATCTAATTTAGCTCTATGGAGATTTACTCAGCAAGTGCTTAAGTTTACCTTTAAAGATCTCACACAGGCCTAATGATCAGTTCTCTTAATCAGAATAGTACTCTACCCTTTAATAATTACTAGCAGTTTTCCCATTAATAAAATAAAATGGGAAAACTAAAACCTTCACTTGTTACCCTTTACCCTTTCAAAATGACTAGTCAATGGCAAATCTATTGATTAATACTCAGAAGTGCCTCAGATCTCACTGTTCAATCATTTGCTGCTGATAAAGACAGATAAGTCAGTGTGTTGAAGCCCCTGTCTCTCTGTGGATGCTAACCAGGACTGTATGTATACAGTATATTTTTGCATACATATTGTGGATGCTAACCAGAACTGTATGTATGTATTTTTGCAGTGGACTGACAGGAGATGTGTGCCGCTGTCTACATTGTGTCAACAGTGACAGGCTATGTGCTCACCTCAGCCCTGCTGCTGAAATGTCCAACTCTCCTACACCGGAGGAAGAGGGAGAGGTTCCTCAGCAGGCACATTTCTCATCGTGGAGGTGAGCTACACCAGGTTCTCTTGTAAAACACTTCAAGTAGATGTGGAATTAATTACAGGTATTGAAGTAATGTTGATTTTTTTTTTTTTTTTTTGCTTTGTTTTGGGTGGATGCTGTTTAAGAATCTCCTTTTAAATGGAATAGAAATCTGTAAAGAGGGTTAAAGATTAGGAAGGTGGCAAGAAGACCTCCCTTGATTACTGGAAAGGCTAAATATGAATGCTGGTATGCTAAAGGGAACATAAAAGCCAATGAAATGTATATTTAAAATATAATATTTTAAAATAATTTATCAAGCAATATCTGTGAAGATTCTCAGTCATCCAGGTCATGGGCATTCTGGAAAAAGTTCAGTCTAGGCAACTGAATGAAGTTTTCATGTCTCATCCACTAGTGGCTCATTGGCTCATTTTTTTCCACAGTAGGCTCACAGGAAAGTGGGTATGAGAGGGGGAGAGACATGCGGGAAAAGACCACAGGCCAGATTCGAACCCGGGTGACCCGCATGGGTCGTGCGTGGGTCATGGCTCATGCGCGTGCTAACCACTGCACCACCTGCACTCCTAGGCTTCTTCAGTTCTAACTAGTGGTGGGGATCACTGAGATTAATATACTGTATAGTATATTATATAGGGATGCACGATATAATCGGCCCCCTATAGGTATCGGCCTGTATCTGCCTTAAATCTGAATATGGGACATCGGCCACCCCACCGATATTTAACCCGATATTTGATCAGCTTCTGAGTTTCTAAAGTCTAAAAAAAAAAAAAAAAAAAAATACTACTTCTTCTTCTTCCTCAAAAACCTCTTTTTTACAGACTTAAAAACTTCTAAAGACGAGGGAAAAAATATTGATACATTAAAATATCACAATATCTTCATATGCTGATATATTGCCATTTAAAAACACCATATCAATCTCTTTTACTAATGAAATATTGCTATATGTCATCGTTATGCTACGAAATCCCCCAAAAATTCACGAAATGTTGCCATATTGTTATATGTTGATATATTGACGCGGTATCAATCTATTTTACTAACAAAATCTCACAAGAATTTGCAAAATATCACGAGAGTTTGTAACAGAACGATGAAATTTCACGAGATTTTGAAAGTAAAATAGATCGATACCGCGTTTTTAAAAATCAATTTGATATCAGCATATGAAAATATATTTGAGTATATTATTTTTCAAAGTGTCAGAAATGGATAATAAAACTGCTATTTTCAATGACTACTTATTTTTGTCCAGCTTTAACATCGGTATCGATATCGGTTATCGGCTACATGAGTTTTGAAATATCGGCATATCGGATATCGGCCAAAATCCCAATATCGTGCATCCCTAATATTATATATATCATTGTATATAGGTCAGCATATTAATCTCTAATTAGAACTGAAGAAGCCTCTTGGATGAGACACGAAACGTCTTCTCTAAAACTTCACGTCCAGTTGTCCAGACTGAACTTTTCAAGCTTATTGAGAAATGCCTTTCTTACTATCTATTAAAAAAAAACCTCTTAAAATATATCAACATTTTCTCTGTGGTACATTTTCAGACTTACCTGCATATGTTACCCCCAAGTACCAGCCGTTTATAAACCTGTGTGTTAATGAGATAAAAAATAGGAAGTACTGCAGCATATGTGATGTTTTAAATATTATCTTGTAGGTGCAGCAGAAAACCTGGAGAACACCATGGCAGCTTTCAAACAGTGAGTTAAATGATCTTTTAAATCCGTATTGAACTTATTTCTTTGAAGTTTACAGATTTAAGTGCTTCTAGTTTCATTGTTAAGACCTTGATCTGAGAGGGTTTATTTATGAAGTCACCGTGTGCTCTGTGTGTTGGTTCATGCAGTGCTGTGGATATTGGGACAGACATGCTGGAGCTGGACTGCCACCTGACAAAGGATGAGCAGGTCGTGGTCTCACATGATGCCAACTTGAAGAGGGTCTGTGGCGTCGATGCAAAGATCAGTGACCTGGCTTATGCTGTGAGTTTGGCTTCAAAAAAACGGCCAAAATCTGTCATACATCTTTTTATTGTATGTGTTCTCCATTTTTTTTGTCTTTTAGAACTTTTTTAATTAAAGAAAAACTTGACATTGGGACACCATATTAATATTTACTCATATTTTATTAGGAATTAGAATAAGAGAGAGAAAAAAACAACAACAATATCCTGTGGTTTTTGTGTGCAGCCGTTTAGACAGAAGGTGAAGGATCATGTGGTTCAATCAAATGAGATGCACACCTGATCCACCTGACTCTGTCACACGGTGGTTAATATTGTGATCTGTGGTTAAATGGGAATAAGCTGATTAATACTTCCCTAAATAGGTCTCTGCTTTATTAACTTAAAAAAATAAGATAAAATAAAGTATAAATATGTTTCAATCAGTGGTTAAACAGAACCCTCCATATTTGTATTACTCCTGGTAAAGATATGTAAAAACAGAACTGGAAATAAAGTAATCTAACGGCAGCAGCATAATCTTCAGAAAAATGAAACCCTTAAATTTTAGTAAATTTATTCAATGGGTGACACTATTTGGTGGTATTTGGAAAAGTTTTTTTTTTTTTTTTTTTTAGTCCAGGAACCTTTAAATGTTATACAAAATATCGTGTTTCCAGTATCTGATCGGTATTTGCCTCTCTCTTGAGTTCCTCACAATTTTTATCCATTAAGTTGTTTTATTTTTTTTTATTTCTCCAAGCACAACAAGTAGGATGATAAAGAACATTCAAAAATGTATTTTTGGAGAACATCAACAAAGGTTAGCTTCTTGGGAACCCCGAAGGCTAAATTAGAATATTTCAGTCTTAACCTTATCTTAAAGTCTGCAGTTTAGTCAGATAAGACTTGGATTGATCCTCAATACAACCAACTCTTCCCAGCATGAGTATATAGGAAGAGTACTGATAGCTGTGCAGCATATTGGAGGACCAGTAATACTGTGGGTCAGTTCCAACCACACTGGGAACAATCATCAAGTACAGGAATAAAGAATGATAGCGATCGACCGGCGAAGGCCACCCAATTGGTCTGTCATTGGTCCCAATCTACATGCTCTATATTTGATTTTTAATCACAGTCTTCCTAGACACGACTGAATGTACAGGATTTAAAAATTTGCTTTATTTTTGTCCACGTTTAACACATTTTGATGAAATCCATCATGAATGTCAACAAACGGCTTGAACGTATGTGAACTGTTCCCCGTTTCTGTGTTGTTTTCGCAGGAGCTTCCTCCTTACCTCTGCAAGCTGGGTGTAACCTTTCAAAGAGGTAGGAATTACAAAAATATGGCATTCTGGTTCTCCTTTCCAGCAAAAACACAAGCACTGTTCATATAAGCAACCATTAAGTAACATTTAATGAAGCAATAGTTAAGAAATTTATTGCAAAATAAACCCAAATTCTTCTGTCACCTGGGATGGATTTAGCATTCCCTATAAACACCCGGTTGGCTCTATCAGCAATGCATTAATAAACCGTTTCTCCCTTCAAACCTACAGATGTGTTGTAAAACTATCATAGTTGAAACAGGGTTTTTTATTACTTAGAAAGTTTTGGGGATACATCGATTCAGATTGTGACTTTAACTTGTCTCTTTGTGCTAAGAGTGTTTCTGTGAGGGAGGTGAAGACAAACGTATCCCTCTCCTCAAGGATGTGTTCGACGCCTTCCCAAACACCCCCATCAACATCGACATCAAGGTCAACAATGACACACTCATTAAGAAGGTGCGTGTGTGGGTGTTCTTTCTTTGTTTTTTTATTCATAAAGTATTGATAAAAGTAGATTTTCTTTAATTTTTTATGTTATTTAGACTCTGAACAAATGAATGAACCGTGTACCTAGAAAGTTCTTGAAAGGTTAAATTATTAGTTTAATGGCGGACATAAAGATGTGGAAACTGAAATCACATGCTTTTATAGTAAAAAAAGCTGCAAAGTTTGTCTTGTAGTTTGCTATGATAAGAAAAAAAAAACATATTTTATGTTTTTAAAGATGTTTGTTTTTACAGGTTTCTGAGATGGTTGTTAATTATGACAGAGAGGATCTGACTGTATGGGGCAACTCCAGAAACCAGATTGTCAAAAAATGTTACAAGGAGGTACTGTAATCAGATTAAAGCCTTGTTTGACTTCTCTTTCTGTATCATTTAATTTATTTGTTGCTTTTATACACTTTAAAAAGCCAGGGTTCCTACACAGATATGAAAAATAGAAGTTCCATCCATCCATCCATCCATCCATCCATCCATCCATCCATCCATCCATCCATCCATCCATCCATCCATCCATCCATCCATCCATCCATCCATCCATCCATCCAGTTTTGTTAACAAAATGCAGAAATTCATGTTAAATTTTTAGATTTCTGCTTTTAAAAATTTGCTCAAATTTCACATAAATCAGGAAATTTTGGGTTGGAATATTTTTGACCTGAAAGGGAACTGTTAAAATATTTTCAGTGGATGAATCTCTTCTGAGTAAAGAAAGATGCTTCTTGAATTATTATTATTTTTTAAATCTAGTTATTCTTTAGTTAGATGTAGTAAACAACTCAGTCAAGACCTCCCCAGCATCGTCTAAGCCTACAAACGTGATGCTACTTCTCTGTCATAACAACTTAAGGTTTTTAATTTAATCGAAACTGACTGATTTTTTTTTTCTTCCCCTGTTTAGAATCCCAATATTCCAGTCTTGTTCAGTTTGCCCAGGGTGCTGCAGTTACTGGGTCTCTTCTACACAGGCCTCCTGCCCTTTGTGCCCCTGAAGGAGCAGTTTCTGGAGATCCCCATGCCCTCCCTAATAACCAAGTGAGTCGGTGCAAGTATACCGTACATGCCCTTATGCCTTTAAAATGGAAGAACTTATATAAAAGAACTGCATAGTAAAACCTCTTGCAAAATCACAGGAAGGGGAATAAAAGATATTTAGGTCTCAAAGTAGCATTTTTTTTTTTTTTTTTTTTCCCCTTTCCTATTTATTCAAAATTAGAAATTTATATGGTTTTAATGGGTCATGGCAGGAACTGAACGGAAAAGGATTAGGGCCACTCAGAAAAAAAAAAAGGTTAAGAAAGGCCTTAGAACAGGCAGATATATCCCAGAATACTTTGCGAAGAGGGATCCCGTCGCAAAGTACTATGGGATTTACTGTCACAGCGGCCCGCCGTCGCCATAAGCTGTGGCTACCCGACAGCAGTGAATGATAATAAAGATGGCGCAGGCACAGTGCGGAGGAAGAGTTCAGTTACCAAGCAGAGAATAAAAAGCTGTGATCAGCTGTCCAAACGGTCAGTTAACTGAGTTTGCCAAAACGTCCAAAATATAGTCCCCACTGTAGGTGGACATGGTAAGCTTGAATGAGCTATGAGAACAGAACATTTTAAGCAGGGCGTGCATGAGGAAAAATGGGGCTTTTTTTTTTTTTTTTTTTTAAAGTGGAGGTGTTCTGAGAGATAAACCAAAATAATAAAAAGTGGAATCAGTATGTATGTTATTGATTGTTTTTGAATTTTAAGTTTCTTTCTGAATTTATAAGTATGCTGCACTTATTGGGTGGATTTTCATGAATATATTTTTTATTTCATCTAAAATTAAGTATTATGAAACATTAAATCACTTTTTTTTTTAAAGCATTGTTTACACTAAAATATTTTCCTTTTTGTGTTTTTTTTTTTTCTTTTTGAACAGACTAAAAGATCCAAGCGGATTAACAAGAAGTCAAAGATTTATAGCCTGGCTTGCAGACACGTAAGTCTCTTCTTCTTCTCCAAATAAAAAGTTGATATATTCCTATTACCCTGCAGTTTTAGTTTTTTGTTTTAGTGTCAGTCGTGCAACTATCAGTTATAAAGTTAGGGTTTTGTTTCATTGAAATTACCTTTTTACATCTCTACTCATCAGTGTCACCATGACAGTTTATTACTGGAAAATATCAGATATATATGCATACATAAAAGGGAGAATAGTAGTTGTGTGTTTTTTTTTTTTTTTTTTTTTTACAGGTTCGGTACCTTTGCAGCAAAAGTTTTATCCTCTTGCAGCCAAACCGTAGTTTTCATAGCAAACAAGACCAGTTCATCCAAGACAGTCTAGCTGCAGACCTGCACTGTCAGGACCCTTCCTATATATATATATATATATATATATATATATATATATATATATATATATATATATATATATATATATATATATATATATATATATATATATATATATATATATATAAATATCTTATAAAGACATATTTTATGTGTGTTTGCATGTAAGATATATATTCATTATTATTTTAGTGTTGCTTGTGCTATTTTCTTACCTTTGCTGTTGGACCTCATAGATTTGCCAATGCCAAATTAACTAAGCTTTGTGTACTCACAATGAATCACTGAATACCTAGATACGTGACCAAAATAGCCAAAAACTTCAGTTTTTTCCCCACAACACCAGAGAAAACTATAGCTACAAAACAAACGTTCAAATGTCTATTTATTTGATTTGTTTGGAAGTCTTTTTACTGGCGAAACAGCAGATTTCACAGCATGACGGGCAGCGTTTAACTTTTGGCAAAGTTCCAACGGGAGTCACAATTCAAACATATGCCGTAAGAGACAGATAATGTAATAAGTAAAAGAAAATCACCAAAAATGTATATGATGATAAACGGTTTTCTTGATCTTAAGAAGGGAAAAGGCACATTTAAGTGAGCACTAGTTAACTGAGCACTCATCTCGCAAATTTTCTTTTAACAAAGTCCAGCAGCAGATAAGTACTAAGCGCTATTCCAGAAGACTTTGAATAAATACACATCCGGTGCTGACAGCACAGGTGACTGCATTCTGCAGGTCTGGGTCCTGACAGTGCAGGTCTGAAGCCAGAACTCTCTCAGTTGATCTGCTGAGCTACAGGTCACCTATAAACGGCAGAGGCAGATTGGACTTTAGATTATTTTTTCTAAAGCAAACAGCCTCAGAACCTTAAATGGCTATATAGAATTTGTTATTATCTTTGTGTATGTTTTGCCTAAAATCTGGACTGCATCATTCTAGGCTGACAAAAGGGAGACTTGTGTAATTTCAGCATGGAGGGCATCATATTACACAAGATATGATAAATGCACAAATCAACCTTATAAAGTCTTGTCAGAACATGCCTGCTCTGCCTCGGAGGACAGAAACTTCTCTGAAAAAAACAAATTTAACCAGACGAGGACCTGGAATTGAACCGTGTAACAGATGAGAATAAAGACATACAGATTTTTAAAGACGTCTACCTGCCAGACAAGAACGAAACATGTCCCACACATATTTATTAAACAACTGTTGAAGGCATATGTCTTAGCATTTTAATCCCCTCCCATAGGATGTAATGTGTCAGTTTTATTACAGATTCAGATGAAGCAAGTGTTTAAACCAAGACGTCTCGTCTTTAGAACCCATTTAGAAATTTCAGAGAGCTGAAACAGCCATCCGATGAGGATTAGGAGACTTCCTTTAATGTCAGGAATGGAGTCCTGACATTTAAAAGACTTCCTGATGCTCACAGTCTGGAAACAGTTCGTAACTTTATATGGGAGATTATGTTCAGAGATGTTTTAAAGCCATACCGGCTGATAACCCAAAGCATAGTATATTAATAAGTAGTTGACCTTCTTTTTTCACAATTGGTAAAGGGTGCGGGAATATCCTCTGTCTGATAAAGCACATTTTAGACCCATTTATGTCTTATCAGTGGAAGAACACCTTTTTTCAAATAGATCCTTTTTTTTTGTGGAACCTTGTATATTATTGTTAAAAATCCAGATAGATAAATTACATCTTAATGGAACCATAAATAAAACACTTAAATATACATTTTAAATGCTTTTCTACTTGTATTTTTCTTTTCTAAACATTTTGCATTTGTGTGTTACAGTTTGCTGATGAGAAAAGCTCTTTTTCAACATTTAACTGCAAGGGGAATACAGGTAATGTAGCTGCGACTGATATTCAGCAGTTATCTATAGGAAAAAGGAATATTTATGCTTAGAAAGGTGGTAAATATACACTATATTGCCAAAAGTATTTGCTCACCCATCCAAATTATTGGAATCAGGTGTTCCAATCACTTCCATGGCCACAGGTGTATAAATTCAAGCACCTAGGCATGCAGACCGTTTTTACAAACATTTGTGAAAGAATGGGTCGCTCTCAGGAGCTCAGTGAATTCCAGCGTGGAACTGTAATAGGATGCCACCTGTGCAACAAATCCAGTCGTGAAATTTCCTCGCTCCTAAATATTCCACAGTCAACTGTCAGCTGTATTATAAGAAAATGGAAGTGTTTGGGAACGACAGCAACTCAGCCACGAAGTGGTAGGCCACGTAAACTGACGGAGCGGGGTCAGCGGATGCTGACGCGCATAGTGCGAAGAGGTCGCCAACTTTCTGCAGAGTCAATCACTACAGACCTCCAAACTTCATGTGGCCTTCAGATTAGCTCAAGAACAGTGCGCAGAGAGCTTCATGGAATGGGTTTCCATGGTCGAGCAGCTGCATCCAAGCCATACATCACCAAGTGCAATGCAAAGCGTCGGATGCGGTGGTGTAAAGCACGCCGCCACTGGACTCTAGAGCAGTGGAGACGCGTTCTCTGGAGTGACGAATCGCGCTTCTCCATCTGGCAATCTGATGGACGGGTCTGGGTTTGGCGGTTGCCAGGAGAACGGTACTTGTCTGACTGCATTGTGCCAAGTGTAAAGTTTGTTGGAGGGGGGATTATGGTGTGGGGTTGTTTTTCAGGAGCTGGGCTTGGCCCCTTAGTTCCAGTGAAAGGAACTCTGAATGCTTCAGCATACCAAGACATTTTGGACAATTCCATGCTCCCAACTTTGTGGGAACAGTTTGGAGCTGGCCCCTTCCTCTTCCAACATGACTGTGCACCAGTGCACAAAGCAAGGTCCATAAAGACATGGATGACAGAGTCTGGTGTGGATGAACTTGACTGGCCTGCACAGAGTCCTGACCTCAACCCGATAGAACACCTTTGGGATGAATTAGAGCGGAGACTGAGAGCCAGGCCTTCTCGTCCAACATCAGTGTGCAACCTCACAAATGCGCTTCTGGAAGAATGGTCAAAAATTCCCATAAACACACTCCTAAACCTTGTGGACAGCCTTCCCAGAAGAGTTGAAGCTGTTCTAGCTGCAAAGGGTGGACCGACGTCATATTGAACCCTATGGATTAGGAACGGGATGTCACTTAAGCTCATATGTGAGTCAAGGCAGGTGAGCAAATACTTTTGGCAATATAGTGTATTTTAATTAAGAAATATAGAAACAAATAAAACATTTGATTTTTGTTTCTCTTACTTTTGTCTCCTCCTAAAGCTCCAAACTATAAAAAATAAAACCTAAAAGCATGTTTGTGAGTTACTGCTTTTAAAACGTTGCAGAGTATTTTAAGAGAAAGAGTTACCAGGAAAATGTCCCAAGTGGCGCACATGTTATAAATATAGATGACAGTAGGTGATGACTCCTTCTATTGTCTGTTTGGATTAACTGTACGACTCCTGCGTCTGGTTTCAGGTGTACATTTGGGTGCTGAATGACGAGGAGGATTTCCGAAGGGCGTTTGACTTGGGAGCCACAGGAGTAATGACAGATTTTCCCACCAGGCTCAAAGAGTTTATGGATAGGAATGGCATTTCTAAGCCCCAGTGACCTGCCAACTCATACCTCTCTCCATCTCCACGGCCATTATCCTTCAAGCTCGCTGACCTGCCAAACAAGCTCTCCACATTCGCCCACTTTTACTGCACGCATTCCTGCAGACCTGCTTTCACTTTGGGGTTCTACAAGTATGAGGCTCACCTTACATTAGAGATGTATACTTTTATAGTAGTAAGCTAGGAAAAGAGATTTATTTGTATTAATCAAGCCTTTTTTCATCTTAATTTACCCATCCTAAAATTTTGGTGAAAGATTCCAAATACTAGAGCAATGGATATGATTGTAATGTAGTGACGGCCATGTTTGAGATTTAATATTAAACCTACAGTCATGAAAAGATGATTAGACCACTCTTGTTTTCTTCATTTCTTATTCTAAAACTGTATTACCTGAAGAATACAATAAAAAAAGGGTGGTCTTATCATTCTTTCCAAGACTTTATGTTAAATAATTAGCCATTGCACATAAATATCAAAGATTATTTATGCTGTAGTAAAAGCAGCAGTCCAACGGACACTGAGATAAACAGTTTACACAAAAAAAGGTCCAGAAATAGTTTTAGCACATATTACATTCAAAAGAAATTTTTTTTTTTTTACTCAAAAAGTATATAATTTTTTTAAGTTAAGTTTCATTAAGTTTTATTTTCCAGTGTTTAAATGTTTTTTTTAATTTACATGTCAGGATCACCTTAAAAAGTCAATGAGACTTTGTCTACTGGTGAATCTGAATAATTTCGATCATCTCCTTAAAGTTAAGTATATTAGTTTCTTGGACACAGATTTCATTTAAATTTCATGATTATATTGTAAAGTTAATGAATATTTAAAAATTCTGTTTATCAGCAAAGGTGAATATTAAATAAATCAAGTTTATTTATAAAGGGCTTTCAAACAATCACAACAAAGAACCAAAAGCTGCACCTAACTGCAAACTATAAAGCTGCATTTAAAGTAAAATATATGCATTTGAACGATGGAAGACTAAAATCAGTAAAACCAATGTAGTATAGTGTTTGCTGAGGTTAAAAATTAAAGCTTAAAAAAATCTAATGGAGTTTATTTTAACACAAACACTTTCTAAAATATTTGTCTATGTGCAGGAGATTTAAAGACTCAATATTTGGTCTAATCTCCTTTTGCATGAATGATTCATTAAAGCTGCTTTGTATGGAGGTGATCAGCATGTGGCGCTGCAGAGGCATTCATTAAATGAATATTGGTGGATCAGTGTGTGAACACTTAACGTCGCACAGAGAAAAATAGTTAGAATGCAGTTAAAAATCAACGTATAAATATAGCACCTTCCCCATTTTTAAAGGGATTAAATATTCAAATTTTCTCATAAATTGGCCTTTAAGCTTCAATGAGCTGTAAGCTATAATCAACATAATATGTAATGAAACTCTGAACATAAGGTCACTTTTTAATTTGAACTACTCAAGTATGTCATTGGTGATTGTTTAATTCATTAAGGTGATCTGTTATTTTACTCTGAGCCATTAGGAATCTTTAAATCTGTTCAACAAGATGTGGAACTTTCTGGCATTAGTATTAAAACTAAAGGCTATTTATGAATTTAATAAACTCCCAGAGTTCAGTGTAAAACCGTTTTTTCTTCCTAAAATTATAGGTTTACATCATACAATGTCTAAACTACTTTTATTTCACCCGCTTTGTGGTATTTCCCACTTTTGAATTGTTTTCCTGTTTTTTTTTTTTTCCCCCTAACATCAGACATAGAATGAAAACAGTGTTAGGTGTTGAAGGAAGCCTAGGTGTTATAATAAAAATGACCACTAACATATTATGGTGTGTTCATCATATCTGAATTTCAAATAGGAAAAAATTTATTTTTATGATGAGGAAAGTCCCCCACCCTACCCCCCCAAGCGACATATCATCTGATGTTGCCATTCTGCTTTAAAAGCTCCTTTCTGTTACATAAATAGGAAACTTGAAAGAAGCAGAGCCCTTTTAGTTCACTGTACTGTAATAGCTACTATTTGCTGGTTTTATTGTGCTTTTATACATAGAAATGTCTATTTGGAGTTTTCTCCTTGAATCGACATATATATATATATTTTTTCTCATGTATGATTTGAGCAAAGAGTTTTGCACAGTTTATAAATTGTTCTCTTCTGTCTGTGTGACACTAATCGTATTTAAAGCTGTTTTTAAAAATGATGAGATGAGTTCTGTATTCAGACAGTTTATTGGAAGCTGATATGTATTAAAATCTGCAAGACAATGATGGCAAGCAGGGAATGCTCCTGTTGTCATAAGGAGGATGCCACTGGGTAAACCTGCTCAAACCAATGATTCTTTTTGATCCGCAGGTATGACCATGTGTTAATGGTCTGTAATGAATGTAGTATTGAGTGAATGTACTATTAGATGCAGTTTTGCTTTGAATTGTTATGTTTTTTGTCATTTACTGGTATCATTCAATGAATTTTCGACAGTATTTCCTTAGCTGTCTGTGTACAATCAGCTTTTTCCTGAAATTGATCTACCAGACCTTTTACAATGATATTGTTGTACTGTACCCAGCGTCATGTTATTCTGCATGTTTTCAACAACGTTGGTCTGTTTTGAAAAGAATCAGTTTGTGGGACCAGGCCGCTTGAGTTTTCCAAAAACTTATCCCACATTCTGACCAGCATTTCATTGATTATAGATAATAAAAAGTACATTTACATCCACAACAATACAGCCTGTATTTTTGCTAGTAAATCATTCATTACATGGAGTTTAAACTGAAAATGTAAGATTGGTCTGCATGTAAATGGAAGGTGAGGCAAGTTTATTTATACTGTACATTTCAGTGAAAAGACAAAAGTGCTGTATATAATAGGAAAACACAGGGATGAGCAGGATAAAAAAATAAAAAAATTGGTATTTAAATGTAACGAAGTCAGACTACAAACTTAAGCTAATAGTTTTTTGATAGCACAAAGTCTTCTCTAAATTGATAAGCTTTTAATCTCCATGTAAAGAAACAAATGGTTTCAGTACTTTTCCAGGTTAGAGGCAATTTTTCCAGTTTATTCCAGCTACTGCTCGTGTTTAGTTCTGGTTCTGAGTATGGAGACTATATCTTAGCAATCAATTTATATTGATTAACGATTTAGATTGTCTATAAACTGTAATCAATTTATAGACAAAAGCATCTTAAGGTCTATTCTCTGGGACGACATCTGGTTGACCGCCAGGAGGGGGCGCTGTCGACTCGCGAGGCTCAACAAGTTATAAACGCAGAGCAAATCTTCAAAATGTTAAGGTCATAGGTTGAGGTAAGTTTCTTCATTAAACATCTATTAGATTACATATTTAAAATATATTTTTCAGAACCAGTAAAATATCTACCGAACTCGACAAAAGTTTAAATACGTTTCAGAGAAATTCTAAAAAAGATTATTTACTGTATGTTAATTCAGCCAATAGGAGCCGTGTTGCTATGCAACAGCCTTTGCTGATTGGATGATTTGTTTGTCATTCAATCACCGGAAAAAAATAAGGAAAAGACAAAGAGTTTTAACCCAAGATAGTTAACGCCACATTTACAACACAGCCTTCATAAATCCTAAATATATGAAACAGTGAAGTGTTTTTTGGCTAATATTATGATTTGATTAAAAAAGGAAATAGCACTGGGGTCAGTTTCATATAGAAAATGACAGTTATGTGTTTGTAACTTTTGGTATTATTTTAAAAGTGTTACAAATATAGTTTATAGAAAATTATCAAATTAAAATAATTTAATTTTTATTACACTTGTTACACAGATTAAACCAAACGATTGCTGGTGCTTAAATCCTCTGAAGAAATTATTTGAGCTGTTTTTGGTTTTGAAACAATGCATGGTTTCTCGCATCTACAAAAACAATGTATTGTAATGCATCAGTTGAAGAGCGAAAAGAAAATCTTCAATGTTTTTTTCAAAATCAGTTTAGATTTAAAAAATGTCTTTATTAGCAAAACACTTAAATGGTTACAATCAAAAGGTTATATACGTAAACCAAACATAATTTTAGTCTTTATACGAACGAAAATGTATTATTTATTTGTCGAATTCTTAATAATTTATGATTCTAATCTAATCGTAAACTATGCTGTTTTAGTTACATAATAAAGGATAACATGAGTAGCTAAAAGTTTAGATGAGAAACATTATCTTTTTTTTTTTTTTTAGCTTTTTAAACAAAAACAAATTACTTGACATTTTACCTTTTTCTCAAAAGTCAAAGAAAAAAACTTTCTTTTTGAATTCAATAACCTAAATTTACAGAAGAGGATTAGAGCCACTGAAAAAATAAATAAATAAGAAAAGTAAAATGATTTTTAAATATTATTTCAGTTTAATATGGAAAGAAAAGTTAGAATTCTGACTTTAATCTCAGAATTCTAACTTTTTTCTCAGAATTCTGACTTTAATCTCAGAATTCTAACTTTTTTCTCAGAATTCTGACTTTAATCTCAGAATTCTAACTTTTTTTCTCTCAGAATTCTGAGTTTAATCTCAGAAGTTAGGATCTTAATGTAGATGGGCCCCATGAAGTAAGAGATGTGGGAGCACTCAGGTTCACTGACAAAGATGTGAGTTGTTGTGGAGGGCCAGTAACACATTGGTGGAAAATGACGGAATTAGGCTTATTTTTACGTGCCCGAGGGGTCCCCGGTGATGCAATTTCATTAATGGAAGAGCAGAAGGTGATTAAAACAAGAGAGCTAGTTTAGTCCCTCAAACAGACATGGCTACAGCTTGATGCTAACATGTTTTTTGCTGTCAGAATTCAGTCAGAATTCTGAGATTAAAGTCAGAATTCTGAGATTAAAGTAAGAATTCTGAGAAAAAAGTCAAAATTCTGAGATTAAAGTTAGAATTTTGAAAAAAAAAAAAAGTCAGAATTCTGAGCAAAATAGTTAGAATTCTGAGAAAAAAGTTAGAATTCTAAGAAAAAAAGTCATAATTCTGAAATTAAAGTCAGAATTCTGAGATTAAAGTAAGAATTCTGACTTTTTTCCTCTTATTATACTGAAATAAATTTTAAAAATCTGTTTACATTTTTAATTTTCAGTGGCCCTCTCTTCCATACTAACAACCAGAATAACATTGGAAAGGAGAAGAAAAGGAAAAAAAAAAAAACTAAGAAAGCATAAATCGTTCGGAGTGAGGCATCTCGCTCCGGCTGTCCGCCTCACCACTCTCTGTCCGTCTCAGTAAACTCCGCTGGGCTCCGCTGCGCGTCAAAACATTGCGTCTCTGCAGGACCTGCCAGGGCCGGAGAGCGGATGAAATTTGCCCGGGGAAGGAATGCGAAACAGCTTTTAGGATTGGCAGTACCGAAAGGAAAACGAGGAAGTGCGACGTTTTATTTAGGCTACGAGGAGAGACGTGTTTTTCCTCCCCTCAAAGGTATGTGCACATTTCTCACCGTGGTGGTGCATTGTTGTTACGCACTGTTTTTATATCTCTCTTTGATGCTTTTCCAGGAAGCGATCTGGTCATTTGCCGTTTTCTTAATTAAAGTCTTTTCTACTTTTAGTCAGTATTTGCTGTTTGGTTACATATGAACTTTTACATGCTGCATATCAGCCTATCAGAGTTGATGGGCTTTCCTGGGGATGCTGATATATCTTCTACTGTTTTGGTGTTTTTGTGGTGAACACGCATGTTGGCAGCCCTGCAGCAGCGCCACCCTCCTGGCAGTAAAAGTCAGGGGGATCGATGCGGGTGATCATATAATTAGGTCATGTGATTGCTGACGGCAGTCACCTGTGGAAATCATTGCGGATTGCTTTCAGAGGCAGCAGCGTGTGGGTGTGAGTGTTAGGTGAGGCATCCCCGCCATCTGTGCTGGCTGAAGTTCTGCCCCAGATAAAGCGCGCCACATCCTGTGACCTGATTCACACCAGTAATTACGCATTTATACTGTAAACTAACCAGGAGCGCGCGTGTCTTTAATCCATGATGCATCGCTGACATGATCTGTCAGGACACACACACGTCCACGTTTTATTTTTAACCTCCCAATATCATGGTCTTTGTTTGCTCCTCTTTTAAAATTTTATATATTTTCCATCTAAAGCAGGGGCGTTAAACTCATTTTTATATCGGACAACTTCAGCATTATGAAGTCTGTAAAAGGGCTGGTTGCAGTTGTATAACTTCTGATTTCATTATCAGATTCACAAAGAGCATTCAGCTGTTAAATCATAACCCCAGTCAGCCTCGGCAGGTGGCCGCTCACACTGAGCCTGGTTCTGCTGGAGGTTTCTTCCTGTTAAAAGGGAGTTTTTCCTCTCCACTGTCGCTATAGGCATGCTTAGTGTGAGGGATTCCATCCCAGTCAATGAGTCGATGCAATCAACTGGTTCTCCTTAGAAAACTTTGAATCAATTTGACTGATCTGTTGAATTGTTAAGTGCCTTGGAATGACATGTGTTGTGAATTGGCACTATACAAATAAACTGAATTGAGACTGAAAACAAACAAAAAATATCTCTCTTTATATATATATTTATATATATATTAGGGCTGAAACAATAAGTCACATCAATCGTGATAATCGATTATTTAAATAATCACATACTAGTTTAGTAATCGATTAATCATTAACGGGAGTGTAGAGACTTTAAAATATGCATTTAGCTGACAGAGCAACCCAATTAGAGCTGCAATTATATCAAATTTAAAAATCTGGTTTGATTTCATAAAAAATCTTATTTAAGGAACCTTTAGCTATCCAATTATTAATTGAAAAAATAATCAACAGATCAATCTATTTGCAAAATAATCATTAATTGCAGCCCTAATATATATATATATATATATATATATATATATATATATATATATATATATATATATATATATATATATATATATATATACAGATATATGTCACTATAGAAATCCCAGTTTTCATGGGGCCCTTCCCAATATAAAGTTGCGCGTATATTTCTACATCAGCGCTTTTTAAATTGATTTATGGTTCTACATATTATACACATTAAATGGGTTGAGCGGCTGTTCATTTGCTTTAATTGCATAGTTGACTCCTCTTGGTAGACTGCAGGGAGCAACTCTCCAACTCTTTTATGGTTAATATGCTAACTTCAAAATGTTGTAGGACATTCTACATGTTGGTATCACTGCTGCCACCTTCTGGTTTAGTGGATAACTCCTTTGATCTAAAGATGGTGAATTGCATCCATGGATACTACAGCTCACCGGGATGGGGGGAGTGTGTAGGCATGGCCATGGCCCCTCTTGCTCCACCCCGCTTCTCTGCTCTTCACACAACACACATGTCGGTGAAGATTCAGTTAAAAACAATCCACTGGACTTGGTTTCCAAGTTCGAAGGCGTTTCGCTCCCCATCCAGGAAGCTTTTTCAATTCAAAATGTTAAACATAGTTTGGAAGTTTGTGGACGACACCACCATGAAGAGTCTCATATCTTCCAATAGGTGCCTTTACCTTACCCGTCAAATTGAGCAAATTGTAATTACGAACAAAATCTGCTAGATGGAAACACAATTTAGAAAATAACTCTTTACTTCATTAAAAAGTTTTAAGCTTCAATGAGGTTTTCCGGTCGTATCTAAAAACTCCTATTGCGCAAAACTGCAAGAAAACATATTTTTCACATCACACGGGGCATTTGATCTTCAACTGGACCTTACTGCCTTGTAAAGATGAAGAAGAAGAACAGAAGTAGTTGGAAGACGATGGCACCCACTTGTTATTTACATAGATAGATAGATAGACAGACAGACAGACAGACAGACAGACAGACAGACAGACAGACAGACAGACAGACAGACAGACAGACAGACAGATAGATAGATACTGAAGCCTAGTACAGATGTTTTTAAGAATTGGGTTGAATTACATTAAATGAAAGTACCTTTTCTTCAGCAGCTTTCTACTCCATGATGTATTTTTATTGCAGGGCAGATAGCCAGCGATCATGTGAGTGAGGGTCGATATTAGGGGATCGAAGACGAGCTGCAAGCCCTGAAAGGTGATCCCTCACACATGGGGGCTCGTATGCTCAGAGAAAAGTTGAACAAGTCTGTGTCTATTTCATCTACCATTTAGCCACTCCCAAAAAGCTTAAGGATAATACAAACTTGAGTAATTTGAACAAGTTATGAGCTGTTATGTGCTGTCTGTCAGAAGGTGTAGTGCTCAGATTAAGCATCACGGAACAAAATAAGGTGTAAGGGAGGAGCAGAAACAGGAGCATCCCTTCATGGGGGAGATTTGGAACAAGTTGGGAGTGGAGTCAGTGATGTCATTCTGCTGTAAGCTGCTGGTCTGGCTGTAACGGTGAGCAGAAAGCAGGATGAAAAGCCCATCATGTGCACAAATCGTGTTAGAACAGCGTAGGACGTGCAGCTCATAGAGGACTCAGCAGATTTGCCCTCAGTCTTTTTCCCTCTGTCTGCGATCATTGTCAAAAGCAGCATCTGCAGCATCAGTGCGTTACATAACCTTTTTTGTTGTCATGGTATGCAGGGGCACTTTTTTTTTGTTGGTTAGTGGGACTAATGGCATGTAGGCCTTTGGACGGATGACACCCAGAAATGACCAGAAGTGACGGCTCGCTGACCTCAAACAACCTGCCGCAGGACGGATGAAAAGACAGAGAGGCAGCAAAGAAAAGCAATGAATATGCAAACAGGCAGAGAGGCACAGGAGACAGATGAAGTGAAGATAGAGGCAGGCAGCCTGAACAGGATGCAAAAGGTTTGCACAGGCTGAAATTACTTTGGATATCTTGATTTCTCACTCTGTGTAGATCCCTGCCAGCTGCAAGTCATCTGATTGTTTATGCCATTTATTTTCTCTGTCATATTTTCATCTTGTTGTGTAGTTCAGAGCAGCTCCCTGCTGCTGGATGTATCAGAGCATCACCATGGCCCCCTCCCATCAAACAGTGCTGCTTGGCTAAATGATTCCTACACATTTTAAGCCACTTTAAAGATGTGATTATTCTCTGGTTTTAGAAACTAATTGAGTTTGTCTGAAAAGGTTAAAGCAGCATTCAAGCTGAAACAAGCTGAATACTTTTTTTCCTCCTGTTCACCGTGTCTCTGGTGCTCGATATATTTTTATTTTATATTCTCTATTTAACATTCTTTCTTTGTGGCAGTTCTTTCCCATAATAAACTAGTAAAGTGGATATTTTTTAGATGATCATCAGAGCCATTCTGAGGTTCATCATAAGAACCATTTGGAAACATGTAAAAAAAAAAAAAAAGTAAAAAAAAAAAAAAGTAAAAAAAAAAAAAATTTAAACGCTGTAGAGCAAAAATGTTAGTTGGATAGCTAGCAGTCGTAGGTCCTGCTGCAGAAATCAGCCTGTTGAGCTAAAACCAGCTTTTATTTTTCAAGTAGGCCCTAAGACACCCTTTAAAGAAAACAGCTATACATTGCAAGTTTGTACTTGTGTCTGGCTCAATCAAAAACATCCCCCTCCCCTACCTGTTGCTACACACTGTCAGTGTGCCGACCAATAAACTTTTCCTTCATTTACAAGAAATGCAAAGTTAAAGAATATTTCTGCTTATAAATACCCCATTTTAATCACGATTGAAAACAATATTTTACTGTATATTATATTGTATTATTTCTGCACCGGTAGGACTAACTGTTATGCAGCTTTAGGTAAGCCCTGATAGTAATATATGAGTTATGCTAAACTAAGTTTGCCACATTATATTAATCAGTTAATAAATACTGTTTATCTAGTATTCATGATACAATAGAACAGTTATATAACAAAAGTTTCACTTGGAGTATTCATGCACTGAATAGAAAATTATATAATATAGGGCAAAATCGTGCAAAACTTTTTTCCATTCCCATAAACACCCACTATTAAACCAGCACCATGTACACAATAATTAGCAATAAATAATTGAGTGCAGGCATAAGTGCAATAAACAGAAACAGTGATGCTGCAGCAGAGGACACATGCCACACAGAGACAGACAGTACAGCTGATTATTTAAGAAATGGTTAGATTTAGGGCTGCAATTAACAATTATTTTGCAAATCTATTAATCTGTGGATTATTTTTTAGATTAATAATCAAATAGCTAAAGGTGCCTCAAAGAATATTTTTCACAAACGTAAACTAGGTGAAACTAAAACTTTTCCACTTGAGGAGTTCTGGATAGAATATATTGACAGACCAAAACACTTTTTAAATGCAAAATCTTTATATATTTTCTTACAGTTTTGATAGAATTGCTGCTCTAAGTGGGTTTCTCTGTCAGCTTAAGGCATATTTTAGAGTATCTATGCTCCAGTTAACGATTAATCGAATACCAAATTATTTGACGATTATTTCAATAATCGATTAATTGTTTCAGCCATAGTTAGATTAACACAGTAGTGTAA